TGGTTGTTTGCTTTTACCTTCTTACTGATAAAACATATAGACAATAGACCATAAAAACATTTGATCAATCACGGCTCATCTTGCCTCCCCTGGTGCAGAATGAGGTCAGACAGTGCTCGTGCTGATCTTTGCGGCCGTTAACCCTACAAAATAGTTTCATTTTAGTGGGACAGTATACCTTCTTTTCAATTCAGATCAAACCCACAGGTAGCCTGCTTCTCCAGCTTTACATTGTTTGTTGATGATAATAACTCCTGAGTCATCACAAATTCGTTTTCCTCTCTTTCTGGTTCTCACTCCATAGCTTTAATATTTTGTTTTCTGAGTATTAAAATAATAAGTGCAAAAAAATCCAGAACACCCATAAAAGATTAAAAAAACACATAAACAGGGATTATCTACAGGGTGAACCATGCTTAGCATTTTTGTATACATCATTCCAAATATATTTTCACTTAGATCACTATGAAGTTATAATAATAATTTTTACATAAAAGGTGCCCAATAGACATGCTGTTATATATATATTTTTAACCTCAGCACGATGTTTTGGACATCTTTACATGTGGCAATATATAGGTATTTATCATCTCTACTACTTTGCATACTACTTCATTGCAGGTGCAAGCCATATTTATATGACCTATATTCTACTGAAGGATAGCCATGTCCTTTCTTTTTCTTTCCTCATCTTCATCCCCCTCCTTCTCCTTGCCTCCATTTTATTCTTCTATACCTCCTCCAATTTTTTCTTTTCTTCATCCCTTTTATCTTTCTCCTTCCGTTTCCCTTCCTCCTCCTTCCACCTCCTGACACCTCTCCTTCTCCTTGTTCAAGGTCTCTTCCCCTCATGCCCTCTTTCTCTCTCTCTTTTTTTTTTTAAATAATTTTTTCTTTATTGATTTTAGAGAGAGTGGAAGAAAGAAAGAGAGAGACAGAAACATCGATGAGAGAGAACATTGATTGGCCGCCTCCCTCATGCCCCCCACTGGGGATCGGACCACAACCTGGGCATGTGCCCTGACCGGGAATCCAACTGGCGACCTCTTGGTGCATGGGTCGATGCTCAACCACTAGACCACACCAGCTGGGCCGCTTTCTCTTTTTGATTGTCTTCTTTGCTTAAATGTAAACTGTTCTGCAGTAAGCCCACTTGTTTTCTTCATTTTTAGTTTTAGTATGTATTCTTTCTTCTACTTTTTGCTTCTTCCTCCATACTTAGGGTGGAGTTCTACTTAGTCTCTCCTTTCCTCTTATATTTCAGTTCATGATATCCTTTCTCTCCCCATTCTGATTATTTTGCAATTTGCTTTGACTTTCATTTTTATTATAAAGAAGGTGAGAGATGTTAAGAGCTTTGCAGATGATTACATAGTAATTCTTGTCAGAACCAGGCTAGAATTCAGTTCTGAATTTCAGGCCTATGGTCTTTTCACTAAATTGAGTTGTCTCATTGTGGCTGAGGATAAAAATAACCTCACATTTAGTGTGGAAGTCAAACAAAGAAGCAAAACAAAACAAAAACCAAACAATAACAACAAAAAACAAAAAAGAAAGGGAAAGAGAAGAATACTCACTAGCTTAACTAGAGGGACTTGAATTTAGTGTTTTCTCTGCTCAGTAACTTAGCTCTGGGAAAATTAAAAAGAACTTTTTGTGAATGTTTACCTACTTTTGTTTGTTTCAAAGCTATTAAAAATGTATAACCGTTAACCTACCCAACAGTGCCATTTGAGACCTGAGCTTATAGAGCTAAAAGGAAGCAGAGTAAATAGAATCAATAATATCTGTACTTAAAAGGAATATTATCATGCCTGATATATTCATTTAATTTCTTTTTCAGAATTAAAGGAGTTTGTATACAGAGTTTGTGTATAGTATATAATATCAAGTATTCAAGACTTGGTCTTGTATTCTTTTCCCTAAACTATTATAAACAAATAAAGAAATTTTAAACTGTAATTGAAAAATAAAAAAGGAAATGAATAAAATAAAAAAGAACTCATGAATATGTGATGAGGTGAGCCAAGTTGGAAGATGAAAACAGCTGGTCTTACCAAGTGTGTGTTGGCAGTACGCTTTGCACAGCCCAGGCTCTCCCGCTGTGGTTTTCTCATGACCACCTTTGTTTCTCCCTTGGCAGTAATTGCCTCCTGCTCTGGGGCATCTGTTCCAAGCCATGGACTAAATCAGAATTGTTTATATTTTTGTGCATTTAAAATATGTCAGTGGTTAAACTAATTAAGCGAGGAGGCCCTTTGACTGAGGTGGCTCTAGTGCTATGGTGGCCTCTGGAAGCAAACTCAAATCCAAGCCTGTAAATGCCTGAAGGGTTCAAAATAGAAACCTAAAGGCGATTAGCCACAAACAGCCAACTGGGCTGTAAGCTATAGCCAATCAATAATTTCCTCTTCTCTATAAAAGGCTCTCCCTGAGCTCCTGTTGGTGGAGGGCTCCTAACCACTTCCAGTTTGATGAGGCCATATTTGAATAAACTTTAGCTTAAATAAAGTCCAAAATTATTTATTTATTTATTTATTTATTTATTTAATTCTCACCTGAGGATATTTTGAAAAATAAATTTTTTTTTTCTTTTCACTGATTTCAGAGAGAGAGGAAGGGAGAGGGAGAGAGAGAGAGAGAAACATTGATGAGAGAGAACATCGACTGGCTGCCTCCTGCATGCCCCCACTGGGGATTGGCCTGACCGGGAATCATACTGGCGACCTCTTGGTACATGGGTTGATGCTCAGCTACTGAGCCACACCAGCCAAGTGCGAGGATATGGTTTTATTGATTCTAGAGAGAGAGGAAGGGAGAGAGGGAGAGAGAAACATCGATCGGTTGCCTTCTGTACATGCCCCGACCAGGGATTGAACCTCATAACCTAGATATGTGCCCTGACTGGGAATCTAACCTACAACCTTTTAGTGCACTAATCAACTGAGCCACCCAGCCAGGGAAACTTAAAATTTTTGATTTGCTTCAGTTTATCTTTTAATACTATAAACTAAAAAGACCATATTTTAAGACCAGATGAAATTTTTTTATGCTGTTGAGATGAACCAAAGAACTTGTGTGCATGTATGCATAACCAATGGACATAGACAACAATGCTAGGGGCATGGGGGAGGCATGGGGAGGAGGGCATCTGGGGGGGTGGAGAGAAAAATCTGTAACAAAAATAATAAAAATTGGAGGGAAAAAAGTGGAAAAAAAAAATAAAGAAGAGATTAAACACTTATTCCAACATTGCATCAAGTGCTTAGAAGAGATTGTTGAGAGGAGGGGGCATTCTCCTTGCAAACTGCCTTCAGATCCTATTACAAATAAGAAGTTCCTGCCGTTGGTCCACCAAGCCTTTAGAGTAGTAAAACAGTTACTAAAAAGAAGCCCTTTTACTTCCCTTGTATCCCTGGGTACGTTAACTAACCTTTCTGTGCTTTAGCTTCCTCAAATATAAAATGATGATAATGGTTGTGCTTAATTCATAGAATTGTTCTAACGGAATTAAATTATCTCAGTTCTTGGAACAGTGCCTGGCACATAATAAAACTATATGGCTTTGCTATAACTATTTCTACTGCTGTTATTACTGCTACTACTACCTCTGCTATTACTAGTACTAACAATCCTCCCTCCGTCCATGTAAATTTAAGAATTTATTGGCTCCAAATGACTTTGGCTACAAACAAAAATCATCACCAAAGATGAAGATTTGCTACTGATGAAACAGTGAAAAGATGGATTGCGAGATCTAAAGTCAATTCTGAAAGCACAGTTCCCAAAGTATTTTGAGTAATGAAGTGATATTGGAATAAATGTAAAATCTCTCAGATGATTGCCCCGAAGGAAGTCCCTCTCAGCTGGATATATACTGCACATTTTTAGAAAAGTCAGTCAGGTACTTCACATCTTGCTTCTCCAAGGTAAACATACTTCTTGAAGATAGAAGCTGTATTTTCTGCTTCCATGCATTTCCTGTAGCTGTTTTACAAAGTGCAGATGTTTAATAAATGTTAATCAGCTGCTGAGATAGAGTGGAAGGGAGAGGAATTAGTTGTAAATATTTTCTAGTTAATTGCAAATTGCTTCCCTACTTAAAGTGTATTTGCATTTTATTATCTCTCTCTCTCTCTCTCTCTCTCTCTTTCTCTTTTTATTTTACAATTTCTGGAAACCACTTTAGTTGTCATTTGTCAATTTTATACATTTTTGTAAATTTCATGAAAATTTAAATTCTCACAAAGGGTCTGTTGTAAGATTTGTCTATTTTTATTATTGTTTCAAAATGGAAAGAAGTGTTGGTGTGCAGGCAAGCCTGCTTCAGTCACACTTCATGAAATTTGTTGGGAGGATCATTGACTTCAGAGCTGGCTGGGACCATGTTGTTACAGCTTCAGCACCCAGCATAACACCTGGAAGACTGTGGGAACTTAATAAGTCAGGAAAAATAGATGAATCATGTAATACATTCTCCTCATTTTACAGGTGAAGAAACTGAGGCCCAGGTTACTTGCTTGCAGTCACACGGTGTAGGAGGGACTAGAATAAATGTTCTTTGATGTCATCATGCTTTAAACGTGGCTTTCACATCTACACTGTAATACAGAAAAGACTTTAGTCTTTGAAAAATGTTCTATTTTTTTATTTTAAAGTATGTAACTAAATCAAATTTGTAGGTTAATAACTTATATTTCAGGAAGGCAGTAGTAGGGATTTGTTCATACAAATCAAAGGATTGTTCAAAGGGCAAAGTAAAATAAAATGTCTGTTAAGTGTCCCTGCAAAGCCTGCCGATCTATTCATTTCCTTTTCCTCTCCCATAAGCTCTCTTTTCTCTGTTACTTATGATGAGGGTTCCCATTCACTATGAAAGACTTTCTGTTGTAACCATTTGTCTCCCTGAACACATGACACATCTCCTACTTCTCTGTATTTCTTAGACTTTCAAAAAAAATGTTGGTTATTTTGTCGATTGATTTTCTGCCATTTTGCAGGATGAAAAAAAGGAGTCAAGCTCATGTACCTGTTTGAAGGGGCCCAAACTGTCAGAAATAGGGACAATTGCCTGGATGATAACGCTCAGCGATGCCCTGCACAACTTCATCGACGGCCTGGCGATCGGGGCCTCCTGCACCTTGTCTCTCCTCCAGGGGCTCAGCACTTCCATTGCGATCCTGTGCGAGGAGTTTCCTCACGAGCTGGGTAAGGGGCTCCGCTCAGGTTGTGAAAGTCATAACTTTTTGGTTCCAGCGGAATGAGGCATGTCAGGCGCCACACTTGTAAAGAAGTCCTTGCTAGACATTGCTGATAACCTTTCATCTTCTCCAAAAATGGGAAAAACTCTTCATTTGATGTTTTCTTCTTCTTCTAGGTGACTTTGTGATCCTACTCAATGCAGGAATGAGCACCCGACAAGCCCTGTTGTTCAATTTCCTTTCTGCCTGTTCCTGTTACCTTGGGCTAGCGTTTGGCATTTTGGTGGGCAACAACTTTGCTCCAAATATTATATTTGCACTTGCTGGAGGCATGTTCCTATATATTTCTCTGGCGGACATGGTAAGAAATTTTAAATTTTTATATTGTTTTAGTTTAAAGCTTATACATAAATATCTGAGTTACAATTTGACTAAGGGTGAGAGGAAGTTCTTTTTGTTATACTTTAAGACAATCCTGGTTTAACAGATAACTCTCCTTTAGTAGTTTGTACTAATAGTAATTTGAAAGGGATTCTCGTTGATTCTTTACAATCTTATTGATAAGGAAAAAATGAATTATTTTTGCTGAAGTAGAGATATTTCCCCTAATGTTTATGTCTTGAGGTGGATAAACCTTGTATTCTATCATCATATGTCCCTTAGGATTTTTTTCCTTCTCTTTTGTGAGGATGTTACATTGGAAGAAGAATAACTTGTTTTGTAAATAGAATTTTGTTATTTCAAAGTTCTAAACAGTGAGAGCTTTTTGGGTTAAACTAAAACTGGTAAGTTAAAATTAGACAATATAAACTTGGGTCAGTATATATTTATGTCTCTGTTTACATCTGTGGCTGTGTCTATGCATTTATTTATGTGTGCGTGGTGTGTAAGTGAGAGACTATAAATGGTCCAGTGCATTTCAAATGAATCATGGACAGCTTTTTAGAAAATGAAGAGGTGCTAAGTGTATGCAAATGAAAAAATATTTTCTTTGCATTTGGAATTCAATGTGTATTACAGACATAATTTAATAGTTTAATTTCCTCCATCTGTGTTCTTAGCTCCAAATGCTAACTGTCCAGCTCTGTTCGTTGTACTGTGCAGACCCTTATAAGAGCAAGGGTTCTGTCTTTCAGAACCATCACTGCATTTATATTTTTCTTCACAGAATTAAAATCTCCCACTCTATTTATGCTAGGTCATCATGTATCCTTTCTCTGATATAAGAACAGAATCCATTAGAGTGTTTAGTTTGCAGAAATAATACTGATAAATGATGCAGCATATACTTATAGCAGTTTCACTCTTTGCAGAATGGTTCCACCCATTTTATCCTGGTAACAGTTTTCTTAAGTCAGGCATATGACTGACTGTGGAGACCCCTTGGATGCTGGTACAATGCACCACGGCGTACACAGCAAGCATTTTGGAATATGTTTTTAAAAGTGGCATTCACAGATCTCTGCACGGAGCCTTTTCAGTAGAACTTACCTGCTGAGAAAGAGTAGATCTTAGTACAGGACGTGGGGTTTTAATTGCTTTCACTGTAATGAGATTGCTATAGTCTTCAATCCCAGAGAAGCACATAATTTATTTTAAAACCTTGTAATTTAGTGAGGGGTAGAGCCAGCAAAAGGACACAAATGGAAAAGAACAAGAATTAAATGTATAGCGATTGCTAAAAAATTATTTATTCAGCTACCATGGATTGATACTTTGTATCAGGCCTGGACACTGATAAAGCCCCGGGGACGCCGCAGTGAACAAGAGGCACGACAGCCTCACTCACGGGGCTTTCTCTTTACAAAGACAGGAACCTAAAGCTCAACAGAGAAACAGAAACCACACACCTGACTAAGTAATTACAAATAACAAATCTGTGAAATAAAAGGTAAAGCAGTATAGATGATGAGAGAGGAAAGTAAGAGAATTTAATGTAAGTTGGAAGGGGCTAAGAGAAACCTTCATAGGAAAGTATGATTTAAGTTGAAGCCTGAAGGATTTAGCTCATTGAAAAACTGGAGGCTGAAGACTTCCGATGGAAATGTTGGCAGGTGAGAAGATTTGAGGAAGGAAAGAGGCTGGAGGTATCTGAGGTCTGAAAGAATGGTGTGATGGGGGCGGGGGAGGGGGGGCGGAATGAGGTATATCCCATTTCTCTGATTAACGCAGTTGGGGAATACTATTTTATTACTTTTAGTCTTGTTGACGTCTAACAGGGCTGGATACTCCTAGTATTACTATCTATGCCCAAACATCTAAACATCTGAAATGACTATTTCAGAAATCTGTAAATGACTATTTTATGTTTTACCACAAGATGGCAACAGTTATCTAACAATATCTCTCTCTTCTAGTTCCCGGAGATGAACGATATGCTGAGAGAAAAGGTAACTGGAAGAAAAACTGATTTCACCTTCTTCATGATTCAGAACGCTGGAATGCTAACTGGATTCACAGCCATTCTGCTCATTACTCTGTATGCAGGAGAAATTGAATTGGGTTAATTGGAGATGAAAGATGGTGTTATTGATGAAGGCATTTAATAAATGAAAACATCTCCAATGGGATTTTAAGCTGATCCTGCTTAGTTAAAAGATAATTTTTTTTTTCAACTGTAGGTCAAGGAAACTAGTTATTGCTCTCAGATCTGTGAAATAGGCCATTATTTGTCATTAAAAATGTTTCAAAAGGTTATCAGTTCCAGTCTGAAAAGCCTCTTATGCAAGATTTTTGCTAAATACCTACTTTTTCTGTATCATACACATTAGAAAATCATCACAAAGCAAGAACCATGCAATGTATAGTCACTTAGACACCAAAACGCAGAGAAAAATACAAGCTAGGTTGTATAAGCTTTTAAACCTCTGTGGTAGGATCAAACACTCACATGGTTTCAGAATGGTTTCCTTTGAACCAGTGTGTTCTGGTGCTTTCACGAGCAAGGACACCCAGACACGGAAGAAGAGCAAAACGCACACAGCCCGGAGACGGATGGTTCCCAGGCCTGATGCACCCCAGGAGCAAAGGGTTGCTCACAGCTTTTGTGGTTTTATATTTTAGTTAGGCATTTATAGGACTGTTTTGAAAACCATCCAATATGAATCATGAAATCAGTAAAGCTTTGCTAGCCCTAGTAAGTTGAGACTTTATCTGCTGCTTTCTCTTTAAGGGGCAACACTGTCAGATTTCACAAAAAGTAGGAATTGCTCTGTAAGACTTAGGTCATGGTTACTCCAAACCAGTGGCAGAGTAGTATGGAAAGCTGGTGACTGACAACTCAGTTTTCATGTACAGCGTGTTTGCTTTGTGAAGGTGAAGACTGTCGGTTTGGAGAAAGACATTCAGTGTAATTTGAGATAATTTTCTTTTAAAGATGAACATGATTATTTAGCCAAGGATACTTTAAATAAATGCAAAATGACAGCTGGACTGTGGTATGTCAAGGACTGATTATAAAACATATGTTCCTTATGGGACTGAGAGTCATTCAGGAAAGGATATCTTATGTGTTCAGTCTACATTTTCCTGCATGGTATACTTCGGAAAAAGAATTCTGTGCATCATGGTTATTTTTCTACCTTTTATAAGATAGAGCTTATTTTCTCATTTAGTAGACATAGAAAGTTGGTCTGAAATTGACATCCTAACCCCAATTCACACTCCCAAGGCATTTAAGGAAAGATGATTTGACAGTGAAGGAAATGATTTATTACAGCCAATAACAATCTCAGGAATTACATTTTCCCACTGAGTGTAAAATAGTGTCGCATAGTAATAATGCAGATCTGATGGATATTTAACATGTGTGAATGTACATTTCACTTTATGACTGACAATGAAAAATTATTGTTTGACCAAATAGTAAACACCTTTGAAACCATGTATTGTGTCGTTCATTATTAATTTTAGTACATATCTTTTTTAGTGACTTTCTTATATTTAGTATTATGGAGAAGACAGATAATTGGAAGTTGGTAATGTGTTTCCCTCAAGGATATTCAGCAAGTAAAAACTATAAAGGTTAGTAAGTATTCATTCAAACCAGTAAGCATGGAACCCATTTTTAGTATTTCATCTGTTTACATGATTTTAAGAAATAATTTTTACCTGTTTAAGCATAGATTGTATGTCTGGATTAAGAAACTATTTACAACTTGATATGAAAACAAAGTCTCATTTGGCGGAGATCACTGCATATATGGGCTGTCTGAGTGCTTCTGTTATTTCCTCCATGTGTTGACCTTTTGGCCATTTTCCTCAGCTATGAGTTCAGCATAGGCAATACAAAATGAAGGGCCCAAAAGCAACAAGAAAATTGCTGCTTATTTCATTGCCTTCAATAGGAAGGAAAAACTATGACAAACCAAAAAATGATTGCAATGCATTATCTATTGGATTATATGTTTTTATTTTTGCATTATTAAACTTTTTTAAATGCCCAGTAATAGCTGGCATTGTTTGAGTATTGTATCAGATCTCGTCTTAGTCTCTTCAGGCTGCTATAACAAAAGACCAGAGACTGAGTAGCTTATAAACAACAGACACTCATTTCTCACTGTTGTGGAGGGTGGATGTTCAAGATCAAGGCACCAGCAGATTTGGTGCCTGGTGAGAGCCTATTTTCTGGTTCATAGAAGGTGTCTTTTGCAGGATCCTCACATGATAGAAGAGGCAAGAGAGCTTTCTGAAACCTTTTATAAGAGCCTCAATCCTACTCATAAAGGCTCTGCCCTCAAGACCTGAGCACTCCCCGAAGCCTGCACCAAATACCATCATCTTTGGGGTTAGAGTGTCAACATATGGATTAGGGGAAATACAGGCATTCATAACATAGAAGACCCCTATTACTAGCTGAAGAATTGAAGGCTCACACCAGGTCATTCTCATGCTCACAGGTCTGTTGATTGGAGTTCAGCTGAGCTAGCCTGCGCTTCTGCCGCCTGGCTCAGCTTAGGCGAGGGTCTTCCAGCTGGGCCGCTGCAGAGCCAAGTCCGGTGGCAAAGGGCACAGATGTGTGATTCTAATACAGGGGCAAGTGAGGACATATAAAAGGATTCAGTCTACATTAAGTGGTGTCTATGGACTATGTGGTATTTCATTTTACCTGGCAGAAAATATATTGATGACAACTCATCAGAAGCTTCCAGAACCACCTCTTTGTTCTAACTCAAATGTTTATTCTGATTCCTTTTTATCAGAATATTATTTTCTTTCATTCATCAGTATAAGTTATTATATATGGATGAGTTTGCCAGATAATGAACAGGGACGTTTTAACAGTACTAATTACTGATGGCCTGTGTCAGGAGAACGTTGCCTGCCGGTCTCTCCCCCGTCCTCCGATTGGAATTGTCTTCCTTTGGGTATTTCTTTGATTTTTATCAAGAGGCTATCATGATTTCCAGATGCTTTGTGTAGTTAGGGTCTATTACAGTCCAAGGGTCCTTAATTGTATAATAAATTCCTACAGTGATGTTGCTATAGCTACTGCCTCACTGACACGTTGCCTTTCCCCAGCTGTGGGTGGCAACACCTGTGTTAGATTGTGTTTCCCCGAGCTTCCTCTCTGTGCCGAGTATGCACAAAGCATCTTCTCACGGCTCTTTAGCTTCCTCTATTAGAGGTGCCCAACTACCACACGTCTCATACTCAGTGATTTTACTGGTAAAATTTCAGGGAAGCTAAGGCAGCGCGATAAACTGAAAACTCCAAATACCTGTTCTATTCATTCTCAGACAGGCATTCCCCCAGCGTTTACCATTTCTGAATGACATGCTGTGATCGCTGGCAACCAGGTGGCATTGCTGAGGTGGTTCTAGTTGCATAAAAATTAAACTAATCTGTTGGAATCAGGGAAGACCAAGAAAATGCCAGTCTCACTGTGTTTGGGATTTGCTGGTGTGTAACAACAGGCACTTAGGTGTCAGGCTTACTTTCCTTCCTAGGGAAGAAGTGTGGTAGGAGCAGTGCAGGGCTGGTTATTGGGAACCCAGGCTCCATCAATCTGTCATCTAGAGCTTCTGACATCAACACGTCATGTTCTAAGATGTTTGCTGGATCCCTCCAGCCTTATAGTCCATATTATATGTAGTAGGAAGGTTGAGTAGAAAAACCAAAACTTCACACCCAGCTTTTCATCCCTCTTAAAGGAGCTTTCTTAGAAGTAATATACAGTATTTTTAGCTATATTCACCAACCAGAATTTGTCACATGGCCATATCAGTTTGAAAGAGAAGCAGGGAAATGTTGCTTTTATTTGGATACACTGCATGCATAAAATCAGAGTTCTGTTACTGAGAGGGAACAAACAATGGACATTGTGCAGACTAGTGACCATGTCAGGTATAGACAGGTTTGTGTCTAGTTTACCTGGGAGAACTGTTCTCGATGGTTCTGACACAGCCAGTTCAGGCAACTGCTTCTTTGAGAGATTCTCATGACTTCTTTCAGATTCATTCTGTGTGACCTTGACCATTTTCATTATACTGGCCCCCATGGCCAGTCTTACCAACGATATTGTTTGTACAAGCTATGCCTACCTTTGTACCTTCTCTGTCTCAGCCTGCTGTGAGTACTATGCATTTTTAAAAATTTTTAAATTTAAGAAAACAACAACTACAAAAAGAGCCCAAACCCAAAGCTCCTATTTTTTTTATGGACTTTGATCTTTCTGTTTAAAACTTCTGATTACGAGGCTCATATCCAGAACCATGAAACTATCAGCAAAAATTAATTTAAAAAGTATTTATGTCTACCCCTTCCCCCTATATGGGTTATTACAGCTATTTAGCATAAGCAAAGTTGGGTCAGAAATGTTATTTGTTGTCTGGTTTTTATATATAATTGAATTGGTGGCTACTGGTGACATCAAATCTCAGCATCGTTTAGTTGGGACATACACAGTAAGATTACCAAAGCACAGTTTCAGTGGGTAGGGCTCCATGTTTTAAGCTTTATATGGTAGTTGAATTTTGATTTCAGTGATTGTATGTATTATCCCCACAACTGTATGGATCATTCGGTGGTAAAACTTCAGTAAGGCAACGCGTGAATAATCTATGATCCCCTCACCAAAGGGATGTCTAACAAGGGTCGTGGGAAAGAAAAGACATGAAATTATAAATTACAGGGGAAAATTTCCCAGGAAGAATTCACACCCAAAATGCTCCCCTCCCTCAAAAAGCTGAGCAAGTTTATAAAACCTGTCTCAGTTTCAATTGTGTGGTGAGCCTCCCCCCCCCCCCCCCAGCGGCCTGCAGAGTGCTCTGTAGGGGCCTCACTGTACTTAGGACACAGTGGACTGACTTCCTTCTGGAAAACAGAGGCTGAGAAGATGCTGGCAAGTGACTTTGGAAGTCAAGTGAGGAGAGTTGTTGCTGTGTTGGCTTGACCTTCAGCCCTAGAGTTTCTTGGAACAAAGGACACATGAATATTCTTCTGGCCTTGTGTGACCACTTGGGGTGAGAGACCTGGTCTGGGACAGTGTTATTTTCTTTTATTTAAAAACATATGTTGTAAAAAATTGTTTTTTTAGAGAGAGGAAGAGAGAAAGAGATAAAAACATTGATGTGAGAGCGAAACATCAATTGACTGCCTCTTGCACGCCCCCTACAGGGGATCAAGTTCGCAACCCAGGCATGTGCCCTGACCGGGAATCAAACTGAGACCTCTCAGTCCATGGGATGATGCTCAGTCTATCGAGACACATGGGTTGGGCAATGGTCTGGAGCAATTTTAAAATTATGTGTGAGAGGGGGACCATCTTGAGGACAGAGAAAGTCAGCACTGAGTGGACTTTTGGCAAACCAAGGACTGGTCAGGTGGGACACCTGGATAACTAGAATATACCATTGGAGGGAAATCCCTCAGAAGAATCCCAGAAGTGTCAATAGGAAAAAAGATAAGCTTTTTAAAACTTAATTTTCCAATTACAGTTGACATACAGTATTATATTAGTTTCAGGTACAACATAGAGTGAGTAGACATTTACGTACCCTAAAAAGAGAAAGGATAAACTTTAATTACCTGTCAGTCCAGACAGCATGAAGCCATATTTTGACTGTACCAGTCAAGTGAGTTTTTCTCTGCCTCCTTCACCCTCTCTGTGCAAGGACTTACCCCTGGAGGGGCCCGCAGCCACCGTTAACCAACAGGGGGAGGAAGATGAAAAAGAAAGATCCTTTCTTTCAAACATTATTCTGATGTTTGAATTAAGATTGAAGTACTGATCAATATACCAGGCTGGATATGGTCAATAATTGACCTGAGACTATGTCTGTCTTAAAGTGATTGTAGGCCCTTCTGTTCCCCCAGAGTCTGTGTCAGGACAGTCACTGTGCCTGCCCATGTTTTGCCCAGGGGTGGAAGGACTACCCTGTCCCGAGGACCCAAGCAGGTGAGGAAGGAAACCAAAGCTTTGGGTTCACCTTGTAAGAACTGCGTGTCAATATGCCGATTCCATGTGCACTTTAAAATCGGTACTCATGACGACCCTGTGAAATGGGTTCTGTTTTAAATACAAGGCCTGGCTGGAGCTGAGAGCTTGCCAAGGGGCCACCTGCTCTGGGTGTGTGGTTGGGGAGACTACGACTGAAGTCCTCCCCACCACATCGCTGACCCCAGACAGCAGCTGCAAAGGGCAGGAGAACCCTTTTCTCCTGCAGTGTCCCCCAGGGCCCTCTACTGAGGAGGCTCAACAGGGTGCTCGCTGCACAGGAGAGACACTTGAAGGACTTCTGTTCGTAAGGCAGTGCATGTATTGAAGGGTGAATCTGGAGCTGAGAGGCAATCAAGTGACAAGTGGCATATGACCAAAATGACAGGACTGTGGTGATGGGACTTTGTGCATTTGCTATGTTGGGGACATAGGCTTT